CTGATGCGATGATGCCAGCCTTTGAAAGCAAGCAATCTTGTGGAGACAGCGGTGATCGAACACGCAGAGTCGCCGGACATTCTCAGCCTACTCGGAGAGGCGAGGTTTCACAGGCGTAGAGCAAAACAGCTCACACCGAAGTATTGTATACCCGATCTTTGACAGCCAGGCTAACGTCACGACGGCTCCATAGGTGGCTCAAGTTGATGTATGCCACCCTAGCCTTCATTATCTGGTTGGAAATCTCATCCGTCACCCCTCCGCCAACACTCATACAACTACCCAGATGCACAAACTCATCAACAACTTCAAGTGGTTCACCCTCAAGAGTGAGTGCACGTACAGGATCCTGCCAATCTTGTAACAGTACTTTGCACTTAGACGGCACAAAGCGCCTACCATACCTACAGACACTGATCGCCAACTGATTAAGTGCGATTTGGGCAGCCTGTATGCTATCGCGCAGTAAGACGATATCGTCTGGATACTCGAGGTCGAAAAGTCTATCTTCAGGTAGCAGATTTAAACCACTTTCACACACACACATGCTTCAGAACTGACTCCAGAATGTCATCGACGGCAAAGTTAAAAAGAAATGGAGAGATTGGGCAACTCTGTCTAACCCCACTGTTATCTTATAACATGACCCGTTGCCTAAATAAACGTTACTCTGCATGCATTCATTACTACCTATTTGTGCTGTGTTTTATTTGAGATTCGGATCATATGCGCTATATTGTCGAGGTCTCTGTCTGTCTGTCTGTTTTCGACATAGAACTTTGCACAAATGTGCGGAAGTTCAAGTCGCCACACTCCGTGTAGCACGCGAAGCAAGAGAAGAAAGTACAAGAAAAGCATAATAGAAACAGTGAGCAGAGGTGTGAGACAAAGGAGTAATAAAGAAAAACAAAACAGTTTCATTGGAGATCATAAGTCACAAGGAGTGGATGCATCTGCGCAGCCACTGAGAACGATTTTGAGCCATGTCACCAATTGTTTCCAACCATAGATTTTTACCGTCCCGAGGACCCCAGCCTGGAAGTCTACACCTTCCTACGTGGCTTAGACCAACTGTTGTGGATTTCATTGACTGGTGCCAAGTTTTTGTTTGACCGCCGCTAGCTTTTTTCCAGCCTGACCCTATATCCGCTAACATTGCTCGTCGAGGAAGGCGATGACTAGGCATACGTAACACATGTCCTAACCATCTCAGTCTTTGTAGCTTCACGACTTCGTCGATTGATTTCCCCTGTTTACCTAGAACTCGATGCCTAACCTCAATGTTGCTCACCTTATTATGCCACTTTACACGGGAAATAGAGCGCAGGCACCTATGATCAAAGACAGCTAGTCTTTTCATGTCTTCCACTCTCAGTGGCCAGGTCTCACAGCCATAAAGGAGGACGGAGCGGACTGATGAGCAGTACACCCGCCCTTTGGTCGATAGTCGAACATCTCGTCTACGCCAGAGTCGGCGTAAACTGGCAAATGCGAAACGAGCCCCCTGTATTCGTGCTGAGATTTCGTCAGAGATCAACCCGTTGGCACTCGCTGATGGTACTTCCCAAATAAGTGAAGCGGTCAACGTGCTCTACCACTTCACTTCCTATTTTTAAACTAGGCGTCGATGTAGTCCAGTCCTGTAACATCATCTTGCATTTGGCGGGAGCGAATCGCATGCCAAACATTCGTAGATTGCGGCTCAAGGTGTTTAGAAGACTCTGCATTTCGTCAGCGTCTTCGCCTAGAAGGACTATATCGTCTGCATATTCCAAGTCAACGAGATTATTCCCCGGTAGCAAGTCAATCCCTGAGTCGCTGAAGTCACCTAGGGTTAAGTCCATTAACACATCTATGATGAAGTTGAATAGAAAAGGGGATAATGGGCATCCTTGACGGACACCACTGGTCGTCATCAGTTCAGATGACAGCTCGCCGTAAGCCCTCACCTGGCTGTATGAGTACGAGTAGAGTGCCTTAATCAGTGCAATATATTTTCTCGGAATTCCCTTTACAGCCAAGCATCTCCAGAGAACTTCTCGATCGACAGAGTCGAATGCTGCCTTTAGGTCAAGAAATATAATGACTGTTGGACGCCGGTAGGAATTCCTATGTTCTAGAATCTGTCGGAGGGTGAAGATATGATCAATACACCCTCTTCCTGGTCTAAAGCCTGCCTGGCTCTCTCGTGTTTGTGCCTCCCGAGCACCACTCAGTCTACGCATGATTATTGAGCCTAAGACTTTAGATACTATATTAGTCAAGCTAATCCCTCTGTGATTATCACAGGAAGACTTGTCTCCCTTCTTGTATATGGGGATAATCAGTGACTTACACCAACCCGATGGGACTTCTTCTGATTCCCAGACGCTGCCTAGTACCTCAGTTAACGCAGACAGTAAACTGTCTCCACCGTACTTAAATACCTCTGGAGTCATTCCATCAGGTCCCGCTGCTTTGCCTAGTTTCAGATTGGTGACAGCTTTAGTAACCTCAGTTAGGGACGGAGGACCTGTGTCTATATCCCATTCAGGGAGGTGTTGGATGCTCGGAAGGTTGAGCGTGGCTGTGGGCAAATTAAACTGCTCCTCATAATGCTCTTTCCAACGATCCAGTCGTCTATCCTGGGAGCTAATTATAGTGCCATTTTTTTCCGAGATTGTTTCACTAATGATTTGTCTTCTCCCACCCGTTTCCCTGATGAGTCTAAAGAGTTGCCTGGTGTTGCCTATCCTCGAAGCTTTCTCCATCTCTTTGGCTTTTGTCACCCACCACTGTTCACGGTCCTTGCGGAGACTTTTCGTAAGTTTCCTCTTGTGCAGCTTTCGCTCCTCATTGAATTCGGAGCTCGCCGGAATAAGTCTTCTAGCATCTATCAGTTCGGATGAGGCGGTGGAGATCCAGTGGTTTTTACTCACCTTTGGGTTTAACTTATTCACAGATTTTACAGCTGTATCTATGGCTGCCTGGATATTTTTCCAAGCTTCTTCAGGGTGAGCACAGCTGTCGAACTCAGATATGTGTTTCGCTAGTTTGTCGAGGTAGTGGAAACCGTGTATATTTCAATTAGTTGTGTTGATTGTAACGACTGTTTGTGAAGATTCTACGACATCAAAAAAATTTAGCAGATAGTGATAAGAACAAACGTAGCTGTCGTAATGGGATAACTTGTTTACGCTATGCATAGGTCTAAGAATTTTGTTGCACTGCTTACGTAGAGAGGGCGCCAGCAGGATATTTCTCCCTGATAATTAGAGAGCCGTTACTAGACGCCGCAAAATTGAAATAAATGGTATCGTGTGGTAGTTACTTTATTTTTGCTACTCGCTGTCATACAGTAGGGGACAGTTAGGGAACAAAAGGACTTAGGAATTATTGTTAGCTATAAGTTGAAAAAACAACGGCAAACTGTAATCGAGCCACAGCTAATGCTTTTCGCGAATGCTATGGGCACTTCGAAGGGCTTTCATCAAATGATTAGACGAGGGTATGTTCCAAATAATCTACGCAACATATGGCAGGCCTCATCTAGAATACTGCATACAAGCGGCGAATCCATACTTTAAAAAGGAGGCAAATATCCTGGAAAGAGTACAGAGGGTAGGAACGAAGTTAGTTAGTGGTATCTCACATCTTTCCTATGACATGAGGATGGAAAATATAAATCTTGCCCCACTATCATACCGAAGGAGGAGAGGCGATTCAATTTCGGCTTACCGTATATTCAAGGGTGATTTATTTAGGGATTGACCTCTCAAACCTTTTCTCTCCTTCTCTAGGATACATTTACGAGGTCACCACAACAAGGTGCTTAAACCAAGATCGAATAAAATACGTTTGGAGTTTAGATTCTCTCACAGAGTGGATAACGACTGGAACTCCTTACCTGATTCAGTAGTAAGAGCTCCATCTCCGCAGAGATATATATCACGAGGATTAAAATAGGCAACAAGAGCCTTTTATCCTTATAATCTGAATCTGAGTAGGCCGAGATCTGATTACAATCTTTGACTTTTTGCAGGACGACTACGGACCTAATCTATTCTCTCCCTCTCTTCCTCCCCGCCCCCCCCCAAACTTAGAGGACATAATAGGAGAGTTCAAAAACCAAGGAAAAACTATACTGCTGTTGAGTACATGTTCTCACAGTTATCAACTCCTGGAACCGGCTCTTAAGAGTAGTGGTGTCAGCGTCTTAAATTGACTCATTCATGGACGGTGCGCGCAAGCCCAAAAGCACAAGAAGCCGATCAACATAGACTGCAATCCTTCTGTTCTCAATCAACAAATCTGAAAACCTAAACTTAATATACCACTATGATGGGTATGACAGACAAAGAGTTGATAGGACTCTTCACTGCTGAAATTAGGTATTTGTTAAGGGTAAACATGTGTGATGATGACGTTTCAGCAGCCTAATGGGAAAAGTCCAATGCAAAATAGTAACACGTAAGTTCAAGAAAACATTCTGGGTGCCATATCCTACCATATTCAAATTGTTATCCGCGTTTAACAATACATTTAACTTAAAAAGTGAAGTCGTGACCGACGTTGACTGGAGACTAAAGTCACTCCAAGCTTACTATAATGCTGAATTAAGTCTCACTAATTCTGAAACAACTCTAACACTCTATAGTGAGTAAATTCTGAATCTGTTCTGAAATGGATTCTTCAATGGCACAGACTGGGACTCAGTGCTGGTTTTCAGCATGACTGGCACTAATTCACCAACGCGTACTTTTTTTAAGCATTTTCAGCAGTAGATCAGCGCTGTTCCAGCCCTCACGGGACATATTTAAGCACGGACTAGTGTTACTTCGGAACGAAAAGATTTAATTAGGCACCAAACTCTCTTTTTAAGCACGACATAGTGGGTATATAAAATCCTTATTTATGACATTTAGTAACCCGAGTCAGTGTCTGAAAGCGACTTCGCTGGAATGTACTTATATATAGAAGCACATGAAATTTAAGACTTTCAATCAGAAAAATATACTCACTTGAATGATTTCATCACTACTACCAGACAGAACCAAACTGTCTTTAGTGGCGACACTAGTAACTGCAGAATTATGGGCTGCTGGATCCACAAACACAGGCTTTAATTGTTTTGGTCCAGCTATATTAAGTGTTTGAAAGTCATACTGGAGTGCAAATACACTACCGTCGTACGTCCCACAAGATATAGTCAATGTACCCATGTGGCAAACCAAATCAGAGTCGCAGATATAACCTTGAAGAAGGTCGAATGTCCAACAGTTCAACATCAAAATTAATTTTCAGAACATAACTAGCCAGGAAATGAGAATTCCCATCAATCCAGATAACATATAACACACAATTTTATTAAAACTTATTGACAAAAAAAATTTCAAGCGAAATGTCGACCGAACATGACATATAAGTCCAGCCTGCACATTACGATTATTTCAATTACTTCTACTTGTTGAAAAATGTATCCCTGAACTGACGAATAGATTTTTTTGAAAATATGTGTCCAAGCAGCGAATTCTGTTAATGCAAAGCCAACTGCCCTTGGTAGTACATGAACTGTAAGATTTCACAGCAGAAACCAACTACTGGACGTTAGTACCTCGAGTTAATTTCTAGTCTACAGGTGGAAGGAGTGACGTACAGCATGTTACCCTATGATTACTCCTAAATTCACTCAGCCATAATATAAAAATATTCTTCTATATCTAGAGTACTTTCACCATAAAATGAAGCCATATCGAGTTCAAGATCATATTCAGATTGTTGAATCATCAGCAGAAACTCATTCACCTGCAGGACATAACTACACATAGTCAGCTGCCTACATATTTATATTTTGAAGTATTGACATTCGCTGTATGAAATTAATGATATACATTTCGTATAAACAGTTAAGTTTACAAGAAATACATGTCATTTTTACAGGCTCGATCAGATATGCTGGAAATTGCAATAGTGAAACATCGGAAATTGGCACATTTCCAAATGTTTAATCTTTGGATTTTTGTACAAGCAGTCAGAGCAGGTTCGTATAAATGTTAAATTACGGAGTATACACATTGGATCATAGGAATTATTAAGAAGACGGTTGCAGGGAAGAAAGTTTTCTTTTCGACGAAGTCATCACCTCGGCTGTACATTCGTGTATTTATATTACGTGTGTGAGAAAGTTCTAGAATTATTTCCGGTCGGAGGTCAGATTGATAAAATCGACAAGTGTAGTAAACAAGAGATAGGTAATGGCACTATTCTAGAAATATTTCAGGTCAAAGGTCAAATTAAAATTTGCAATGTGTAATAATCAGGATAATCGAGTAGGAAAGAGGTAATAGGATCATTAGTACTGGACAACTCATCAGTTTGTAATTACGGGTTGAGGAGTTGGTATTAACGAAATCGGTAGAGGGTTCAGACAGATACAAATAAAAACATTAACCAAATCTAATAATGCACATGGAAAAAGGCAAATATAACATCATAATAATAATATAAACGGGAAGATGAGACAGGAAATGTATTAGGACAATCATTATAGGTGAAACTGACTTTTCCTGATGTCAGCGGTAGGGAATATGGTTGAAAGCATTTACTTTTAGTGGGCCCATACTGATGAAGAGTAAAGACTAAAAAAACAACTGTCCAGTACTCCCAGGTTTTCCAATGGTTCTCTAAACATTGTCAGCTCATGGTGAAATCCTGTAATCAATCAATCAAATCCCTACAAACCAATACTTGAACTATATAGAATGCTTGGGTGTTTGAATCCCCAATACCTCAGCTATTCCTAGATGTCTCGATCCCACTCTTTTTGATAGGCGGACAGGATGTTGTCAGTGGCTTTTCAAATAGGGTTGTTGAATGTCTAGAATTCACCAGATGTTCTGTTATCGGGATGCGTACCTCTTTGCTAACCATACTGGATAGTGTTCCCGCGCTCGTTTTACGAGCGTGGTACAATCAATGGACTCGGCTCCACATTAGTGAGTTTAAGACGTCCAATGCTACAGCTTGTCTTTCACACGTTGCGTGAGTAGTTTCTCGCAAGAGAATGATATTCGTAGGCTGGCAGGGAAATATGTTTTACTGAGAGACTTCGAAAGCCGTCTATGAAGAATTTCTGCTTTGGTATCACTTTTGAATTCGAGGTTCATGATCAGTATCATTTTCGGGGCGACTTGCACCTTTGCACGCGTCTTCCTTGGTATCAGATTCTTGTCTATGAATCTGGGTGGTAATCTATTTTCGGCCAAGATCCCCCGTAGGTCTCATAATTCTTCGTTAATAGATTCTTCAATTCAAATCTTCCGGATCCTCGGGAATAGGCAGTATGTTAGGTCTCTCGTTCTGCTTAGAGGCACACAACATTGAAAGTAAGTGTCCGTTTCATGTGGCGTTTTCGCAAACCTTCTTGGCGAGATTGCTGCATTCCTCCAAAGTTGAAAGTCAATCACGTCTCAAAACCGTCAATGCCCAGCTCTTGCTACGCCAGGCCTCTCGCTGTCCCTCGAAGCCTTTCAGAAGCGCTTAGTACTAACGGACGCAAAAACCAAAACACCGAGAATTCTTCATTCTAACACCAACATATAACCATCGTAATAACTAAGGTCTATGAACAAATATTACAATAATAAATCACAACATTACTTCTGACGGTTGTCTCCTGACTTCTTTCTGAACAGCGACCGATGAGACGATGACTGGTGTATTGATGCCTCCGCGAAAATTTGGGAAGTTGGTTTTGAGGAAACAACCATGAATTGATCGTTCAATCTTCAACTACATTGACATTAACCGTCACGGTATCGAAGCATTAAGTCATACTTAACTTCCAGTTGAAGTCGAAGTTCGGGTGTTATTGAAGATGTAAAGTCTGCGCTTCGAGATCACGCTTCTCGCCACAAATAATGATGGCATCATCGATTTGTCTCCTGTGGAGATGGAGGTCATCATTAGTTGATGACACGAAGTTGTTTTCTAGGCTATCGGTAAAGCAGTCGGCCACGAGGGTTTTGAAAGAGAACGCACTGCTACCCCATCGACCTGCCCCTACATTTAGTTGTTCAAACCAAAGTATACGTTGAAGTTTTATCGTAGTAATATTTCTTTAAGGTAGTGTGTCGGTATACCGACATCTATGCTAATGGATTGTATGTATTCGAAAAGGAAGTAAACGGCTTGTGTCAATGGAACGTTGGTGAAGAGAGAGACGATATCCAAGGAGACTATTTTCTCGCCTGCTACGTTAACATTCTTAATTGAATCAACAAATTAGAATGTGAAACGGGGCTGTGTCTTGACAGCTTTTCTTTCACCGGCACAAAAACCTCAACCAGCCGTCTCGCGACTGGTGGTATGGAGAATCTATCAAATCTAGTATTGGGCTAAGTGGAACGTCTTGTTTGTGTACTTTAGGCAGGCCGTACATGCGCAGAGTCGTGGAACCATTCTAACTGTTGTGAACCATTCACCAAGGCCACCATCAGGGTTGAGCGCCAATCCAAACTTCGCTTGGTTTCGTGCTGATAGCTGTGATCAACCAATGAACTACGCATATTTGGGTAAGTGCTATGTCACCACGTGATCGAAAGCTACTTCGGGAAGGGGAGAACGTCCCGGAAAAGTGAAAAATGTTAGTGAATACATTTATGGGTAATACATCATTGAGAGTACATTTACAAGATGTATACAAGAAGATGAAATAGAGTCCTCGGAATGATAACATACATTCATGTAAATTTATATGTTTATATGAAAATATACATTATTATTTGTGATGTATAATGCTAACTATTTCGGTCTTACCATGGAAACCATGGCATTTTCGATGAAAATATGGGTTTGCTCAAACATTAGCGTAATTCTGCTTTTTCATCAGAGCTACCAGGCGTTAATAATAATAATATATTTCACATAAATTAAGCATTTACATGATTCACATACCGTTTGTACAGGCATGATCATATTGGACAAGTGCAGTCTGAAATTGAACACTGTTTTATGAAATGAAAAATTGGAAAATGACCTCTAGAAACTTTATAAGAATAGAACATAAGATTTTGGTTTAAGTCTAAATTATAATATTTAATATACTCATAGTGAGTCAGATTCATGCGGGAATTATGAAATTTTGCGTAAATGGAAGGTAAGAAGAGAGGTGATATACAGGTGCTAGAGTAAGACACACTGGATGCAGACCGTTATTATTATCATTTTATCAATCAATAAGGGTTCGAAAGTTTATAAAAATCCACATTAGATGGTAAGTACAGCATTATATTGGTATTAGCAGATAAAAAGGACCAATTGGTCGCAAAGTTAACTTTGCGATGTTGAAAAGAATTCAGAATGGAGTTTGTTCCGTTGTTCATCGTAAGTGCTAACAATATTCTGGATACCGCTCAAGTAATACGGATGTAGAAAGCAGGATTACTGTCCATTAGCAGTGCTTCAGTGCAATACCTTCGAGAAGTGAAGAAAACAGGAGCAGCCAGCAGATAATAATAATTTAAGCAAACAATATGCGATGACCGCAGGGTTTATTCTCCTTTTTTTATTACTAGGAATTTCTAGTCATTGAGTTTTATAGTGTTACATACTAACGGTTAGATTAAGTTTATAGTAGTAAACAACAACTGAAGTGTAGAATAACAATAAAAAAAAGGAAAAATTAGGGCGAAACGAATTATGGTTTTCACTCTTATATAGGGTAATGTTGGGAATAATAACTGAAGATGTGAAATCCAAATGCCAAAGTACATAAGTTATTTAAAAAGAAAAGGGGAAGTATAGTAATGTTGATTTATGCTGTTGTTCTGATTTATACAGTTTGATGTCCTCCTGAAGTAGAGAAATCGTATCATGAGCCATTTTTTCAAAGAGTTTGTACGCAAGCTGTGACATACAGGCAGCATTTATTTTTTATTTTATTTATTTTTTTTGAAGTAATTCATCCTCATGAGCCTTAGCAGTAGAGTGCATTCCCACAGATAAGGGTGGTTCTCTTAAGTCCCCACCATCCTATCCACTGAATAGCAGTCACCACCCTCCCACCTTTGAATCTGCTAGGCCCTGGCGAAATACTCCTTTTTTGTTTTTAGAAATAAATCTTTTATTATTGCTACGTGTCATATGGACAGTTTTTGCATTCACAAGCTAACTCAACAATACTCATGGTACGAACGACTACTTTCAGTCAGCCATTTTGTATGCATCGTCACTAACAGCATTTTAAAAATGTTTACGTACA